AGGAAGAGCCGCAGCGTCGACGAGCTGAAGTAGCAAAACTGATGTGGATGGAGTACTGAGAAGTCAAAGACGTGGGAAGGTAAGTCAGAGTCAATCGCCGTATCGAGCAGGACGACGAAGAGTGCGCTGTGGACGCTCAGAAGCATCCGGCTGCTGCTGAAGGTCTGCCTCAGATGGAGCAGGCTCAACTTCAGCGGTCTCCTCAGCCGGAGGAGAAGGAGGAGGGTCCGTGGGCTGAGGAGGAGCAGTGAACCCAGCACGACGAGCACGGTCATAGGCACGCAACAACATGCGAGCGTGCTCCAAGTGCTCGAGGGGCTCCCAGGTAGCCTCCTCATCAGGGTCACCCTTCCAACGTACGAGATACTCGACGTGGGGAGGGTTGTCGTCGGTGACTCGGCGACCAATGATGTCTGAAACGAGGAACTCCTCGTGGCCGTCCACCATGATGGGTGGAGGGTGCTCGTATGGTCGTCCAGCGAAACGCTCAGACGGTCTGTGGTAAGGACGCAGTAACGAGACGTGGTAGACATCATGCACACGAGCCTGGTGTAGGTAGTCGGGCAGCTTCACACGAAAGCTGACTGGGCTAGATGCCGTATCAGAACCGACAGCCTAGAGGATGCGGCATGGGCCAAAAAAGCGACGTCGAAACTTGCGAAGCGTGTCAGCTTCAAGTTGTAAGTGGCGGGCGTCGATAAGCACATCATCACTGACCTTGAATGGGKGATCCATCCTCGATCGGTTCGCACGTGCTGCCATGCGAGTTTGGGAAGCGGCTATGTGCTCATGTGCGGTCTTCATAATTGACATCATGGGTGCAACCCAATCATCCAGCGCGGGACAACTCGTGTCGGGGTGCATCTGGGACGGTCGAAGGAAGTCCGCGGGAACACGCGGGTGATAGTCGAGGTCGCAATAGTAAGGCGACATCCACGTGGTTGGCAAGACGGCGTGGTTGTAGGCTATCTCTGCGTGGGCAAGATGGAGATCCCACTACTGGTCGTTACGAATAATCTTTCGGAGAATATCCCCGAGAGTCCTGTTCGTTGGTCTGACCATCAGTCTGAGGATGGTAAGACGAGGAGAAGCGGAGCTGAGTGCCGTACACCTCGTGGAACCGTCGCCAGAATCGGCTGGTAAAGCGCGGGTCACGGTCAGATATGATGCTCAGAGGTAAGCCGTGGTCACGCACGACTCGGTGAAATACGATGTCGGCGACCTCACGTGCACTGATGGCATAGCGGCACGGAACAAAGCGTGCACGCTTCGTGAAGCGGTCGACGACGACCAGGATAGCATCATG